ATTCATACTCATTGTTTCATCAAATAACAAATTTATATTTTTTTTTAATTAACCACTATCATGACTTTATCTAAAGAATTTTTTTATCTTTAATAATATTTAAATCAAATACTCTGAATATACAATAGTTTTGAATATATCTTAATATAAAGCAATCTTAACACTTAAAATAACGCCCTGATTTTTGTTTTGGCCTGTTTTTTCAGGGATATTAATCACATTTTTGATGGTTTTCCTTTTTTTGACTTGTGTATTGTTTATGGACATAATACAAACTCTATAAAAACGGAAATTTATTTAATAAACTCGAGAGTTCCCCGATTTTTAAACCACTTGAATTTTGTTCAATGTTATTTAAAGTGTTAATTGACTCAGTTTTATTAAAAGATTAAATTAAGTGGATAAATACAGTTGGGCTATTGAACCTTCGCCCAGCAAATTAACCTTAGCCCAAAGAAAAACTAATTATTTTCTATTGTTATATTAAAATAATAAACTATACCCATATAAAAGTCAATTTTTTGAAATATTTGTTTTTTTAGTAAAAACCCGTGTTTTTAAAGAAAAAAATAGGAATTTCTTTGGGCTAAAGTACATTTCCCGGGCTAAGGTTCATTTTCCCTACTGTAGTAATTACGAACAAAAACCAAAAGAAAAAACCAAGTAAATTTCCACTTGTTTTTTAAATGAATAAAAATATAAACAATAGTAAATTTATTAATAATAAATAATATATGATAACTGAAAAAGATGTATTTATATAACGAAATATAATACTTTTATTACAAGAACAGTCGAAAAAGACCAAATCAACTCTAAAAAATACTTTTTGATGTCTTTGAGTAAAGACGACTACCGAGAGAGGATTATAACTGAAATAGTCGACACTGAGGTTACATATGTTGACTCTTTACACACATGTATGGTGTATTACTACGAACACTTTCTGAATGATACTCCTCAAGTTATAAGCACAAAACAAACGGAAGACATCTTTCTCTTTTTCGATCAAGTGTATAACACAAACAAACAGTTTTTGTTGGACATCCAGTCGTCAAAAGTTGCTCAAACGCTCTCACAGAACATCGGGGAGTTGTTCAAGAACTTCATCCCGTATTTCAGAGTGTACTACCAGTTTCTTGGAAACACTGCTATTTCGTTACATACACTAACTCAACTCGAGCAATCAAAGACCATCGCAAATTACTTTGAGAAACTCAGAATAGCTATTCCGGGACAAAATAAGTTGGACGTTAGAGGTTTTCTTATTATGCCTGTTCAACGCCTCCCTCGCTATAACTTACTTTTAACAGACTTACTTAAAAATACCCCGCAGACACACACCGACTATCCCTATTTAATCGTCGCACTCAAAGAAATGAAGAAACTTACCGACTCTGCAAATAAGGCGATTACCGCCGCGGAGAGGCGGAGGAAGTTGTTTCTTGTAGAGACTCGTATCTCCGGGTTCTCGGGGACTCTTGTTGAGCCGCACCGAGTGTTTCTTAAAGAGGGAAGTCTTCGAAAGGTATGTCGGAAAACGACGAAAAGTCGATACTTCTTTCTTTTCAATGACATACTTATATACGGATCAGGTGATCAGAGTCACGTGAGTGTGTCTCAGGTGTCCGATGTGGTGAATATAGTCGTGAAAGATATTCCGACGTCCGTCAATTCGTTTGAAATCTTCACTGATAAGAAGTCGTTTATTGTGTTTGCTGAGAATGTTGTTGAGAAGCGCGAGTGGATGGACGAGCTTGAGAAAGCCGCAAAGGCCGAAGTTGAAAATTTGAAAACACGGAACAAAGAAAGTGATGCGTTTATCAAGCCATTGTTTGTACCGGATGACTCTGTGACGAAGTGTATGTTATGTGGTAAACAATTCTGTTGCTTTGAGAGAAGACATCACTGTAGGTTTTGTGGCAAATGCATTTGCGATGACTGCTCCAAATACCGAATGCCATTACCACCACTCAATTTATTGGAAAGAGGATGTTCCGCTTGCTTTGATCGACTTGTGCTCTCCGCAAGACCAGTCGATAAAGATAAAATAAGAAGCTCAATATATGGAAATTCATCAGTCGATTCGACTAATTATTAATTTGGATGTTGTGTGTTGGTTTCTTTTTATGATAAAAATATCTGTAATAAATAACTATATTTTAATATTTATTTTATAGTCCCCCGCTAAAAGGTATAAATTTCCGACAAATGGTCTAAAGAAACCATATTATAGTTTTTTGAAATTATGATTTTAGATTGTGTTTCAATTTGACATTTATTTCTTTATATTGAAAGTATTTCAAAATAAACTAAAATTTTACTAAATTATAATACATTGTCAAAAATAGATTAAAGGTGAACTGAAAAACAATTTTAATGGATAATGCCGTACATGTGCATTTATTTGGACAATACCAAAAAACCAAACCTGCAACTGGGATGGTTTTCGACAATTCAACCAATTCTTTGGATGTATTAATTGTGTTGCTCGCTCAAAATAACATAACCTTTGCAAGCTTAACACAATTTGCTTCTCGTTTCCTTCAAGTTCTTGATTTGGGGATATTTGGTGGGCTTAAAAGTTTAATGTCTTATTTTAAAGCGAAAGACGGTTTTGTAAATTTGCTTTTTCAAGAAGAAGTCAAGAAGGAAAATGTGGATGGTAATTTGTTTTAGAAAAAACATTTTTCACAATATTGAACTCGGAAACAGACTAAGAAAGTTAATTGATGATATTGGTGGATTCTTTATTTGTGGTTACAACACCTCCTTTTAATATTATTGCTTTTAAACAAGCTGTCACAGTCAACTGGATTGACAAAACACACCAAAGTGTCATGTATTAATTGATTGCCGTTATCTTTTAAACCAATTAAAAAGCTTGACAAAAATTGATTCAATGTGATTTTTTGTTTTTTGTTTTTTTAATGTTATTTGTGTTATTTTCACTGTTTTTTACAATTATAGTTTAAAATAATAAATTATAGTTTCTTTAGACCATTTGTCGTGTTTTTATTGCTTTTAGCGGGGGACTATATTATGATTTATACTATAATTATTTTTATAGTTTTGGAATCAATATATAATATTGTTTCTAATTTATCAAATTAATAATTTATTATATTAAAATATTATTCTAATCGTAATATCTAAAAATAAAATTATAACTATTATATATAATTAAATTATAATAACTTTTTTTTCAACAATAATATATTTTAAAATTAAAGTAAAGCAAACTATTAAACTAATTAATTTAATGGTTTTTTATTATTATACAATATATATTCTATTGAATTTATAATATTAAATCACTAAAATAGTTTTTGTTATCTTAATTAAAAAAAATGAGGTAAAAAATATGTGGCAAGAAATATTTCTTTATTGAAACAAACTCAAAATGTGTTATTATATGGGATTTATTACTAACAAACAAATCCTAAAATTTTTGAAAATTTCTTATAACACAAATGTTGATGTTGGTTTTAATAGAGTTTGTGGTGTAAAGATATTACCTATTTCCTTTTTTTATAGCAAAACACTTGATTAATAACAGCAAAAACGAGTCAATAATACCAAACGAAAATATTGCTTTATAAATGCAACAAACACTCTTTTTAAACAACATTTTTCTTTTTATTTTTCTTCAAAAATAATTAAAATATTCTAAAGTTCATCCCATTAATAATAAATATAACTTATTATTATTAAGTAATAATAAAAGATTAGTTGTTTATTATTTTTTTTCGTTTAAAATTCCATTAAAAATTCTTTTATAGCGAAAAAGAGTCGTAACAATTTTTAACAATTTAGTTCCCATTTTCGTATAATATACACAAAAACCCCAACAAAACATTTCAGTTGAATTAATTAACGAGTAATATTTTCTCTTTTTTATTTAAAACAACGAGTTTTTTTTTGATATCAGTTACAACCATTTCGAAATTATTACACTCAAAAAGATTGTACAATAACCGTTTTAATTAAAATGACTGTTAATTATAAAAACTCGTTAAATAATATGACATAGATATTACCAAAAACAAGAAGTTCAAAAACGAACAAATAAATCATAATGGTGCTATCTGTGTGCCTAACAATCCTTTTGCTTTTAAACAGGTCTTATGGAGTTGAATGTCCTAGTGGTTGTCTTAAAGAGTGTTTCTTATCAAACGTGTGTTCACAATGCAAACCAAATTATGAAGAAAATGATACTTTTTGTCGGTATTGTAAATCACCAAATTTTGAATTAAACATTTCTCAAAACAATTTAGCATTTTATAAAATGAACAATGACTGTTTGCCTATTGAATCAATTAGACAATTTGAATATAATATACCAGTAAATTGTTTGACTCTTCAAAATAACGACTTGACTTTTTCTTTTGGAAAAGATGATCAGTTTGAATTCCCGTTTTACATCAATAAACACAGAAGAGAAGCACTACAAGGCATTTGGATCAAAGTACCTCACAACAACGAATCATCAGAAAATCGATTATCATTGACTTTTTCAAAAATAGTTCAAAAGTCGAATTATTGTGAATTTTTAACAGAAAAATTTGCAACGCAAAAAATGAGCGAAAAAAAATACAAAATTCGTACTCACAGAATAACAAGTAAAAAATTACAAATTGTTCCACAAATTGTTATTTCTCTTTTTACAGAAAGCGACTTGAAAAATCGAAAAAGTGATGGACAAATACTATTTGAAGGTAATAAAAATACATATCAGATTGACTTTAAAAACACGGCCAAAGAAACTGTTTATGTATCTGTGATTTGTTTGAGTTTCTGTGATACAACGATGTCACTCACAAAATTTCAAAACACTGAAAATTATACAAATAATCAAATTGCTCTTTCAACCGCTCTTGACTCAAAGACGATTTTTTTAAAATGGGAAAACGAAATAAGTTTTGAAAAAACAACTTGTTTGCCAAACAACTATGTAAGGGTTTTTTATATCGAAAATGACATAACTTTTAAAACTGGAATTTCTATGATAACAATTTTGGGTGACTCAAAAATTCAACAAAACATTTTTATCGCAAAAATTGAAAAATGTGTTGGGCTTTTGGGTATTTTTTTGCCGCATCATAAAAAGTCCATTGATGTTAGTGTATCGCACAAAATTGCCATTTTTAGCGATTCAAATGACAATTCACAGATTTCAATTGAAGTGAAACACATTTGTAGCAGTGGGTGTGGAGAAGATGAAAACCGTGGATATTGCTCGATAACGACCGGGGGTTGTGTGTGTAAAGAAGAGTACTTTGGTGATGGCTGTGAAAGAAAGTGTTTTTTTAACAACAAGTGGAATTTTAGTGACAAAGAAACAGACAAAAAGTGTTATTTTGGAACAGCACATTGTAGTGCAAAATGTGAGTGTGAAGATGGGTACTTGATATATAACCACACATGTATTATATCCACATGTCTTCACACCTCAGAATTTCAAAATACATCCAATGAGTGTCTATTTAATAGTGTTGGGTGTAATGAATCATGTCAATGCAACTCATCCTATTTTTCATATGAAAATTCGTGTGTATCAACTTCTTGTGGTAATGAAATACTTGAGATGGGGGAGGACTGTGATTCTTCGCAACATTGTTTAAAGAATTGTAAATGTGAAAAAGGTTACTTTTTAATACAGAAAAACAAGTGTGTATCATTGGGAATGGTTGTTGGGATATCAATAAGTTCTGTGGTTGTGTTATTCATTATTTGTATAACAATAACTATCGTGGTCATCACCAAAAAACACTCTAAAGTGATCGAAAAAGTCACCGACCAACAACCCGAGTATTATATGTACTTTTCAGGATCGTCAAATGTTATACCCAATACAGAACACAGGCACATGATATCTCCTCTCATTTTCGACTTTGGCAACACAACAGAAGATGTCAAAGTATTTGAAACTTTGTACCAAAATTATGACGTTAGAAACACATCTCACAAGAAATATATGTTGCTCCTCATCCACACACCAAACACCCCAAAATATGTCTTTCACTTCTCTCCACAGTCAAATGTCATTCCTCCCAATACAAAGAAATCATGTAAAGTATATATGACTTTGTACTGCACAACTCAAGTAAAAGGTATGAAAATCCCATACACCATTTTCTTTTCAAACACTAAGTCGACTCTTTTCAAAATTTCTGAGTTGCTTAAAAACAAAAGTTTCACCGATTGGACGTCATTCGACGAAAAAACAATGCAAACGTACTTAAAGGATGTTACTGTGAGATATCATCACTACTTTATTATATCAACCAACGCCGAGTCATCGACACACATTGACTTCGATGAAATAAATTTACTCGAAGACCCAATTGCGGAAGGCGCAATGGGGAAAGTGTATTTAGGTCGTTATCGTAGTCTTCCCGTAGCAGTGAAACAATATCGATGGAGTGGTCTGACCGAGAATGAATACTCTTCTTTGAAAAAGTCGGTCATTAGTGAATGCAATTTAATGAGTAAATTGCGGAATCCATATGTGGTCAATTATGTTGGCTCAGTCACTTATATTCCACAGATCTCATTGGTAATGCAGTACTTAGTCCTCGGCGCATTGAGTGAATTTCTCCACAACACGTCGCGCAGTTTTTTGCATTTGAGTTTTAAGTTGAAAGTCAAAGTCTTACTCGACACGTCTAAGGGAATGACTTTTCTTCACCAAAATAAAATACTCCATTTGGACTTAAAACCCGACAATTTGCTTGTTAACTCCCTCTTCCCAGACTCGCAATGTTGTATCAAAATTACCGACTTTGGGACAGCCGCATTACTCTCAAGCCAAATTGAAGAAAAGGGCCTTGGAACTCCAGTCTACTTGGCGCCAGAAAGCTTCACTGAAGATGTGTACACAGAAAAGAGTGACATTTTTTCATTTGGAATAACGTGTTGGGAAGTCTTTTATCAACAAGAGCCATACAGTGAGTTCAAATCAATTTTTGAAATTAAAAACTTTGTAAAAAGTGGAAATCGACTTAAAATTGATGAAAAAATGCCAGAGGAACTAAAAAGAATGACGGAGAGGTGTTGGGATAGTACACCAGAGAAGAGGGGAAATTTTGAAGAATGTACCCATGTACTTGAAGCTCTTGTAAAGAGAGAAAAGGAGTTTCAAAGACTTGATAAATATGTCGACGAAGAGAAAATACAAAAATTTGTGTTGGATAAAAATGAAGAACTGCGAAAAAAGATCATAACACTTGGGAATGAATAATGTTATTTAGTGTTTTTAGTTTTGGATTTAATAAATCGTATGAGTTAAACTTGAAAATGTTATATAAATTTTCATGTATTGATAATTGTTGTTAAGGTGAATGCCTAAAATTTGTGAGTTGTAAATATAATAAAGTCTGTGTAAAAACGTTGTCCGCTTGACAAAAATTTACACAAAATAAGTTTAAAAAAATAGGAATTAGGAAAAAACGTTGGAAACCAGGTAAAAATTATGAAACAATGTTTTTGGAGTGTTTCGAACGGTTTCCCGAAATATTTTAGTTTTTTTGGTCCAAAAAATGCCTGGATAACGTTTTTAGACTGACTCTGTTATCAAATGTTTGTCAAAATTGTTGTGTAAAATTAAACAATTTTTGTTCTTCATGTTTCTATTAAAAAATCAGATAATTGGTTGAACAAATTAAGTTTGTTGGTAAAATATATTTCAAATATAAATATCAAAATGATATTTTATGAATAAAATATTATAATTATTAAACATAAATAAAATGATATGTTTTTTATTAAAAAATAAGAAATTAATATCATTTTTAATATTCAAATCTTTGAACAAATTTAAAACAGCGAAAACAGTAATCTTGAATAGAATTGAAGATAATATTTATTACTATAAAAACTAATAATAAGTACTATTCACCAAATATTTATTTATACTATATATATAGTATTTTTATTATTAAAAAATAGTTTACAACCAATCATTTGGTTTTAATGTTTAAATATAAAGAACGTTAACTTGGAAATAGAACAATTACTCCAACACTAACCATTTCATTCTGACATTCACAAGAAATTCATCTTCACTAAGAAATACACAAAACAACGAATTAAAGACAGTAAATAGCACCTGACGTGTTGTATAACTGAGAACACATAATGGATTTCACGAGCATTATACAACGAGTCGACTAAAACGCCTACCTTTTCGAGTTTGAATGTGTTGAGCATTTTTGGACTCGACTCGATGTGGTTGTTGATCTCTTCTAAATGGACGCCATCTCCAAGTAAAAAAGCTATGACAGGCATTTTTGGTTGTGTATGCTCCTCGAACTGTTTTCGGTATTTCTGGCTCTGATTTGTTATAGAATACAGTTCTTTCAGTTCGTAGTATTTCCTTTTCACTTTCACATCGCACGACTGTCTGTCAGTTTGTTGGTTTATTTCCAAAATTTTATAATAAGGGTACTATCAAGTGAAGAGTACAGAAGCGGACAAACAAACAGAAAACGCCTTCGAGACACTTTTTTCACTGATCATCAAAGAAGTGATTGCGGAATACATCAAACAACTGATATTAAAATTACCATATACCATTAACTTGTACGACACTTTGATGAAGAACGACACAACCTTTTTAGTTGGTTTAGTCTTGATAGTTTGTGTTGTGAATACTTCGAACATCGAGACTTTTTGTGTGTACTTTCAAGGGATGTAAATTCT